ATCCCCTTGAGTAAACTGACTGGTTATTTACCTTGTATAGCCGCAGTACTGATTCCTTGGGATAATTTCAATAAGAAGTGCATTCTGGAGACATATTCCTTAATTTTAGGTTTATCTCTTACCTTCATGCTTTTAGCTTGAATAGGCAGATAAAGCGAGTTTCTTCAGAGTGTAGTTACACATCTATTATTCCAAATGCAAAGTTAGTTAAGAAACTGTCACGTTGTTCATCTTCTCTCGGTTGTGCTCATATAGCTGATCACATGGAGTCCATCTCAAAGCTAGCTCAATTAGTTGATCTTGGATTTAAAAAAAAAAAAAAGGCAAAAAACCCCACCTGCAAACCACACTAGCACCACCACCACAGTGTTACTGAACTGCCAGATGAAAACCAAAATGAGCATGTTCATCATTCTTTCCAAGTGCTGACCAGTAAATTTAGTCACCCTAGAAGAAAGAGCACCTGGAATAGTTTCTTAACCTTTTTATGCTATTGCCTGATGCTCAGAGAAATTTTCCTTAGATTCCAGTTCAGGAGAACATGTAACATCTTACTAAATGCTGACATATTCTTCAGAGTATGGTCTGTGATTTTTACTGTTGCCCTCAGTCTGGTGTTTGGCACCTCCCTGGCTTCTATCATCATGTTGGTGGTAAATAGGGGAAATAGTTGGACTGTGACTGACTACTGTTGATTGCAGTGTTATATATGCACGTTGTAAATGTAGTGTGTGTGATTATATGAAAAAAAATTAATGAAAGCTGGTAGAAACCAGTTAGGATTAACTGGGGTTTGTTGAGGTGGGGGAGGATCATAGAGAATTAATATTTGTATTTTCAATCCAGAAGAGCAAATCTTTGAATTCAATAGCTGCTGTTTTATATTGGCCACAGTTAAGCTCAACTAGATGGTACTTAAAACAGATTACTTGTGTGGATTGAGGGACAGAAGAGTTTTAAAAGTGGAGTTTGAGACTTCCATGCAGCCTTTCCTATGTCAGTAGGGTAATGTTTTCAGTTTCACTCAGTCTTCAGCCATGTGATGTGTAAGGCTTATGTGCTGGAGTAGTTGTACATGCAGCCTGTTTTATCTCCAATTTCTGATTAAAAAAAAAAAAATTAAGTTGCTAGAATGTCTTGGCTCTTGCATCCTAGTCTTTCTCATGCCTCTTATTATGTCATAGTCTGTAGTAGTATCTACTTACATGAAGTGTTTCCAACCAAAGTGAAATGCTGCCTGAGTTGTCGGTTCAGTGGCAAGGCTGTGGTTATTTTCTTCTGGCTTGTTTTGGAGCAGTGTTTGTCAACTGAGAATTTATCTGCCAAGTGACAAAAAAGCGGCTTCTAACATTTGAGGCAATTGCAGGTACATCAGCCACACTGCTAAAATCAAAATCCTTATGAAATACATTGATCCTGTATTTCAGGATCTGGCTCCCTGCCCTCCCCGCTTTTTCATTTTAAAGAGTACATGGTCATAACCTTAGCACAGGAGAACACAGATGCACAGAAACGTTTGACCTGCTGAGGAAAGCTAATAATCTATTCAATCCCAATGTCTGTAGGGAAGAGTGAGTTATTAAATGACATCTTGTGTTTGCTTTCTGTCATTTATACTATGTAGTCTGTAGAAGCGTTTCAGAGGTACTCCTGACAGTTAGGTTACCTTGGTTGGTTCCCAACCCAGTGATTTTGAAACAGCAGTGTGGAAACAAGTCACGTGTGGAATACGTGGCGAGGTTTGAAAAAGGCTTCCTGTAATGGAAAGATAAGCCTTGATCCTCCCGCTTGATCCTCAAGCAGTTGCCCTCATTTGGCAAGCTCTTTGAGCTAACCCTGTTTCCTATTGCAATACATCTGGGTCACTGGAAAAATATGTGTTTAGGAGGAATGCATGAGGTAGGCAAACCTGGTTACATCATTCTCAGAGCTTGTCAGGCCATGACTGCTTTCTGGCTCATACTGAATCTTGTTCAGGGGAATCCAGGTAACTTAGATGTTATTTTTGTCCAATTCCCGCTCACAGAGAAGGGTGAGGGCCCTTGAAAACTGTATTCTGAGCGTTTATCAGATTTGTGCCAGGTTACATCAGGAGGAGGTAGGTCAGAACGCTTGAATCATCTTTAATTCATGAAAGTAGTCGTTTAGGGCACTTCTGAAGTGTCAGTTGCTTGTGGTAGGAGTGGAGTATGCTGCCACTTATATAGCCAACACCATAAGCCTTGCCTTTGTAGTTGCATATTAAAGTTCTGGGTACATCAAATGGTACATCAAGACTTGTTTGCTGTTTTGGGGGAAAGGTGTTCTTGTGCCCTCATGTCTTCTAGGTGATAATGTACAATACGCATTTACACAGGGCCGATACCATGCAAAGCCCACGTAGTTTGTTCAAGTACTGTGGGTAGCGTAAAAACTCGTAAGGATTGGCAAGTGGGTGCAAAACCTCACTCTCTACAATTCAGATGCCCTGATCTTTCTGTGCTTGTGTCATGCCATGCCATTGAATTAGTCCCATTTCCAACGGAACATAAAGTAAAAATCAAGATGGAGGAGAGAGAAGTAAAAAAAAGGTGATGTGAACTACATAGAGTTCTGTAATTCTCAAAACTCACTGTTGTGAAGTAGCGTAGATGGGGTTTAATGATCGTATGTATTACTGGCTTACATATCTCCTTTTACTGTACTATGAGAGGATAATGAAATCACTGTAATTCCATTTCTACTTATGTTTTTTTCTGTCTCTCTAATCTCTCATGTAAATCTTTTTGATACATGGAACACAAACCCTCTGAATGAAAGTAATCAACCTCAGTAATGGACTGCTTTGTGCAGTGACTTGTTACCAATAAGACTTTCCCATTCTCCAGGAGGAGGCAAGCATTAAACATACTCATCAGGGTGTGTCTACACTGCATCAAACAGAATCCATATTCATGAGACTGTTTTGGTTGGTTGGGTTTTTTTTCCTTGGTGTACAGGTTGCCTTACCAGGCATAAGTTAACTTTGATTTTTCAGGACATTTATTTTCTGTATTTTATACTTAATACCTTGAAAGCTCTGACCTAAGAAGAGGTGGTGGTAGATTTTTATTGGCTTGAAGTGAGAGTCAGGGAAGGAAGAGCTTCTCTTGTTGCAGAAGGGCGAGTGCTAAAATACAAGTACATAATTTTCTTGCATACATTTGCACATCCATGATGTTCCAGAGCTGTCTGGTATTTCCTCTGCACTGCTGGTAGTTGTCCCTCCTCATCCATTTAAAAAAGTTTGTTCTTCAGCCTGGTCTCCAGATTCCTTCATGTTGTTACCTGGTTCCTGGGATGGCACTAGGAGAGGCACCAGCATAGGCACAGTTTTGGGAGGTTGGTGCTCCTTGTCTATGTTGCAGATTTACTGTAAGAGCAGATACAAGTTAGTGGGCCACTGGCATTTGCTTAGTGCTGGTGCTATTTACCACTGTCATGCAATGATATTTAAAAAAAGAGCATCTTTTTGTAAAGAGTGATGTAGGCAGGGCCTGCAAGGTGACTTGGCCTATTAGGAGGTATTGTTTAGAGCTATTAAAATGTCCTGAAAATACAAGCGTTTATTGTCAAATAATGGTGAAGAGAGCTCTTGAATTCTGAGTCTTTAAGAACACACAAAACCAGCAGTTCTTTGCATATTGTGTGTTCAAGTTGTGTATTTCTTTGTGTGTTACCATGTACCATTTCCTTACTCATTGGTGACTGCTGCTCTTTGCTGGGGCAGGACAGAGATGGGTAAGGAAAACAGAGCACTGTGAGAGTAACAGACCATGCTCCATGCTCAAAGTGACATGTTAAGTTGCAGTAATATTATTAAATGAGGTTGGTTTTCGGGTATTAAGGTGGAGCTGCTGACAAGGGATACCAGTTGAAGACCTAGGAGTTCTGTACTGTTTCCATCCACGTAAAGTCTCTGTGTATCATTTTTCTCTATAGAAAGATCCAGCTGTTAATACAGCAAGCTCAGGAGAGGTTGCTTCTCGTTAATTATATCAACCTGAAAAATTATTTTTGAAAGCTAGGTGAATTAATTATACCCCCCCCAACATTAAATTTATTCAGTGTCTTGATAGAATTTGCACAGAAGACTGCATTAAAATACCAGAAGTCTTTTTAAGACCTGTTTTACTGCTGAACATTCTCAGTTCCACAGTTAGGCACTATGTGATTATAGTACTTTGTCATTTAATTCCTCTTTGATCCTTCTTTCCTTTGCTAATGTATTCTGTGATGAAGTACCTTATTATAAAGCTACGTTTGTTGTTTCTCTGTGTTATGTTCACACAGACTCTAACCTGATCCTAGATATTAAAAGTGATACTCGAGTCTTTGTCTTGTTCTGTTTTGCCATGAATGAGTTCATATGTTTAAGTTGGAGATAACTGGGACATAAAGTGCATGTAAACAAAATGGTTACAAATCTTAACACTGGCTTACTGTATATGAATGGTTAATATGTATTATTAATCCCTTAATAATTAGAAATTCAGTAAGATGAAAGTAACATTTCTAAGAGATGCAGGCTTTTTTTAAACTTTTTTTTTGATATGTAGTTGTGGGATGTAAGTTTGGGACTTTTAAATTTGCACTTCTTGGGTTTTGGTGAGGAAGGGACTAAGGGATTAATAGACTGCTTTAAATAATGATGTAATATCACCTTGAAACACCTCCTAATGAAAATATTGAACGGGCAGAACAATTATATCCTTGTCCACATTTATAATCAGAAAGTGCCTTATGTTGGAGACCATACTAATAAATGTGACCTCAAACATAAGTTTGACTTAAGTAGTAGTGCACAAGTGCAAAGCCTAAAGGAAAAACAGTTTGGTGGCAGCTCACATTGCCACTAAAGACATGTACTTAAAATGTCCACAGCTTTCTCATCCTGTTGGCTTCTCTGAATGCTTTAATTGTACTTTATGCTTCAAATCTGTTGCTGATTTTTTTTTTTCTTGTTCTCTGTTCTTTTTCAGAAAGATGAGGTGTACCTCAACTTGGTGCTGGACTATGTTCCTGAAACAGTATACAGAGTTGCCAGACATTATAGTCGGGCCAAACAGACACTCCCTATGATTTATGTCAAGGTAGGTAACTGATAGATGTGGTTAGATGAAGAAGGATATTATAGGAATAGACTCTGTGGATCTTTCTTTTTTTTTGATATAACTAGTTTTCTGAAATTTTTAGAGCACATACATCTCAAGGCAAGGGAAAAAAAAAAAAAAAAGAGTAAAATGATTATTTGTTACAGTGAAGGAAGAATAGAGGCGAGAGGCTTAAAGCAAGCACCCCTGATTTCTCACTTTCCAAAAATCGTGGAATGGGTGGGGGAGACCGAGTGTGGGGGGAGTGTTTTGGTTTTGAGGCAGCTTAGATAGACACTGATACCAGTCAGATTAGCAGCTTCAGTTTCTTGGGATGATGAAGACACAGTAGTACAAAGGTCAGGAACTGAAAGAGAATGTCAGGAAGAATAGTGTTCTCCTATCTGTTATCTTCCCCCTTTCCTGGCATATGAGTAAGAATTCATGTGCTTCTGTTGTGGGCATGAAAGGCATATTTTTGTACCCTGCCCTGCACTTGGAACTCAGTGGCTCTTGTCTTGCAGAGCTACATGGGTAAGATGTTTGTATGCACATTGTAGCCTCAAAACCTCACTTAAGTTGTCTGCATCTTTTTTCATCTTTTACAAAGTGGTTAAAATGAATAAATTTTTTTTTGGTCAAACATGGGACCTGTCTGGGTCTTGCCGTTCCGTTTCATGTATTGTGAGTGATCATGTTTTCACATGGCATTAACTTGTTAACATGGCATCCAGGTAACATGAAATGGAAATTAGTAACAAACATCCCTGATTCATATTGATTTCTCCAGAATCCTCTTTAAAAGTGTAATGCTTTAACATGAAGATGGGCTTAAGAAAACAAACTTTAATTTGGTTGAAAGAAGATGAAAGTTACAAACAGTAATTATTCCAATAACAAAGTGTTGTGCCATAACTGTATATGCATAAATTGTAAATGGCATGTCTCCACAATAGCCAGCACTGGGGCCTGTTTTTAAGAAAGCACAGAATCTTATCATCCAGCAATAAGAATTTCTACTGCAAGGTCACTCTGTTTGGTCTGTTGGTGGAACAGCATGTCATCAGGTTTATATGCTCCCCAAAATTTGTTAGCCTAGCTTTTGATAAATTGTTTATATAGCTTTTGTCAGTACTCTTGCCCTAGTTGTTCTTCATTATGGGGACTTGGGAAAAAATTGTTCTTACTTATCTTTTGAGAGACAATTCTGCTTCAGCTCTTTCATCTTGCTGGATACTTGGGACTTCCCATTCCAGGTAGCCTGGAAGGCTGTTCTTATTTTTCTGGCAAGGCAAGTCTTTCTCATAATCCTGTATTTAAAAGGATCATGTTACCCTGATTGATGTTATTAAAGCTTTTGCAATTTTCCAGACATCTTGGCTACACAAAGGTCAGATCATATCTATCTGTTCACTTCTGATTGGTACCTAGGCAGGCAGAGAGCTGTTCTTCCCTGGGTAACAAAGAAACTGTTAAAGAACTGCAAGGAAACTTTTCTAGTAATCTTTTTGTTAATTTTTATTTGTAACTTCTAACATGCTGTAAGAAATTCTTGGAAATTTTGGGTTTGCTGTGTGGAGATGAAAGGCATACTTTCTAAATCCCACATGTGTTGACTTGACTTCTCAAGTAGGAGCAATCTTTTGGATTATTTTGCAATATGCTTGCACAATACATACTTAATGTGTCTAGAACAGGCAATTCAGAAAACATGTTTGTTTGCTTTTCTTTGTGCAGAGTTGTGGTTTTGAGAAACAAATATGAAAACTAAAGACCTAGAGCCAAAGTCAGGCAATTCTCTTCCTGCTCCTACCTTCCCCACCAAATGAACAACAAAAAAAACAAGGGAGAGAGAAAGGGTGAAAGACAAAGTAGAGAAAGAGAAGATAGTGGTGAAAGTGGGGCAAACATGACCTGGTAGCAATATGTAGCAATTGCACCCAGTTTTACAAACCATTAAAAGTGAACTGTGGAGAATGAGCTTAGAAAAGGAAGGCGTGGAGTTGCAACTCCAGTACAATATCCGGCCTGTAGCTTCTTTTTTTTTTTTTTTTTTTTTTTTTTTTTAAATGGAACCTGGGGAGAGACACAACAAAGATTACAAATAACCTGGCAGCCTGTTGTCAACCTTGAAACAGGGCTTCCCATGCCTTTATGACTGTATATGCTATACAGTCCTAATTGTGTCCAGCAGCTCTTCATTATTCATAGCCAAAAAGTGTGTAGCCCCAGCAGCTGGACATCCTCCCCTTGCCCTGTAGTCTTGCCCTGGGAAGCTCTTGGCTTCATAACACCTCCCCTTGCTGTATTCCTCCTTGCTAAGGGGCTGGTTAGTCTTGGATAGGGTGCAAGCAAACCTCAGCATAATTGTTTGCTGTGTTTTGCATAAAATTATCCTGAACAGTTGTTTTTATCTTGCCCTCTATTTTGCCCAGAGATTTGAAATTAAAATGAGTCTGTCCCCTCACCCAGAGAAACTGGGAGATTCACTCAGGTGACAGGCTGAGACACTACCATAGTCCTTGGGCGACATGTAATAATGTTGTTAATAATGTCATCAACTAAAGGGTTTTCTTTGTTGGGTTTTGGGTTTTTTTTTTTTTTTTTCCTTTCCTAACCTGGAATACTTCATTTCTATGAAGAGGCTGATTTATAAAACAAACAGAAACACCTTTATTTTGTGTATGTTTTTTATGACTACTGTTATTTATAAATGTTGGAAAGCTGGCACAATTTTTTTTTTTTTTAATTGTACTCATTTTTGGAAGGACAAATGAACAAATTTGAACTGTGTGTGTGGGTACATAGCAAAGGGTGGTGGGGAAGGTATGTGAATACCTTGCCCATCTTCACAGCACCAGTATGTATTCAGTGGGGTCTTTTTTGAGTGATTTTTGCTTTTCATCTAATAAGAGTATGTGCTAAATTAATTGTTTACCCTGTTTTGACTGGGAAAGCATGCCTTATGCAATGTTTTCTGTGTTCCAGTTGTACATGTATCAGCTGTTCCGGAGTTTAGCCTATATCCATTCCTTTGGGATCTGCCACCGGGATATAAAACCACAGAACCTCTTGCTGGACCCTGATACGGCTGTTCTAAAACTCTGTGACTTCGGAAGGTAAGCACATCTGTGGCCTGAAGCCTGGTGAAAAGAGCTTCCTTCAAAGTGAACCTGGGTGCAATTTTGCGGAAACCCTCTGTGTTCCTCCAAAGGTCTTGATTTGTAGTTTTGAAACTACAGATCAATATGGAGGGAATGAAAATTCAAGGCTGTTATTTGTGCAGGTAGTCAAAAAATAAAATGAAGATGCTGTTGCATAGGGAAAATACTGTGCCATGGAAAAATACAACCAAATACTAGGGTGAAATGTGTTTGGGGAAGAGAGGACAGGTGCAGTGGTATAGTAACCTGAAAAAGCTAATGTTACACCTTATTAGTCTACTTGTGTGCATACCAAGTTATTTAATATTTCAAATACTGTAGCGGCTCAAGACCAGAAGCAACACTTCTAATTGAAGCTCTTAGTGGATGTCTATATCCTAGGTTCCAATGGCACATTTATTTCCAGTATCCGTTCAAGTGAATCACCTTTGGAGTCCAGCCCTCATCTTAAAACTGATACAGAAATTCTGGGAATCCACACTGAGACAGGAGACGGATTTCTCTCCAGGAAAGTTCAGTCTTTAGATTGTGCTACAGCTTTGCAGACTAAAATAGTTAGGGCATATCTGTGAGGGGTCACTGAAGCTGCTGTTGCTAAATTCGCTTGCCCATAGTGAGTGGGAATGTCAGATGGTGGTTATTCAAGCACTGCATCGTCATGCCTGGTGGCTTGGGGATCTCTTCCTCAGCTCTGCCTCACTGGTGTTGGAGCAAAATAGGAATCGCACTGAGACTCAAAAGTAACAATGCATAAAAAGGTGGTGATTCCTCTGTGCTAACAGTGGGTGTTTGTTAATTGTAGTTTCTATATTAAAAAAAAACAGAAAACTGAGACTTTCTAAAACAGGCTAAATGGGTGGTGGGAGTCCTTCCTTGAAGGCTGAGAGGAGTGTCTGGAAGGCTGGATGTTGGATTTGGCTGGCTTGCTGCTCAGCTGCGTTTGGTGCTCCTTAGTTGAATGTCGTATTTCTAAAAGGGCAGATTTGTCTTACAGCTCCTTTCTATCTAACACTTGGTGTTAATTAAGAAAGAAGAATAATATGTTCATAGAATCATGGTCCAAAAGTAATGTGCTGTCGTGTTCCTTTATTTTCTTAGATGCTTCCAAAGGTAGTGGTTACTGTAGGTTAGATCTTTTGTGGCTGATCTCTTGCAGTATAAATGAAGCCTTCATGTTAATCATGGACGATAAACGTGACTACACTGGCAAAGTTGTTTGGTTTTTTTTTTCCTTTGTCTCCTTATACCCCTTTTGCCTCATACCATGCTTCCTTAAACAGCAAGGAGCCAGAATATTCTGATGGAAGTTTAAAAACAAAACAAAACAAAAAAAACCCACAAACAAACAAACAAAAAAAACCTAAACACCAAAAAAACCCCAACAACACACCCCCCGACCCCAACCCTCCTCCCACTTCTGGTGAGTATCCAGAGCTTTTGAACCTTAAAAGGTAACTACGTTTGACTGAACCATATTCTGTCCTTTTTCTTTGTAAACAAACCTTTGTACCTGGCAAAAGACAACTGCCATCCAAAAATCTGACCCTATTTGTCACCTAGACTGTAGTCAGAATTTCTTTGCTGTGTCCAGTATAAGGTGGCCGCTTGATGGATTGGACTGATTTCGTGGTAAATCATTGAGTCTGTGGCTTGCATCAGCTTAGAAGAACATGGTACTTCAGCATTTAGGATTTGGGGTTGGGTGAAGAGTGCCAAAGCTTAGTGCTGGTCTGCACTGCAATACTGTAAAACTATTCATTACTGAAAGATTATTATTTTGTTTCCTTTTCAGTGCAAAACAGCTGGTTCGTGGAGAACCTAATGTCTCATACATCTGCTCTCGGTACTACAGGGCACCAGAGTTGATCTTTGGAGCCACCGATTATACCTCCAGTATAGGTATGTATGTGTATTTGTTCAAATCTGTACTGGCTGCATGTGTTTTTATTTAGTTAAGTGTAAAGGTTTCCAGAGATCTCACATATGATCCCGAGACACAGAATTTCATTGTAAATGGTCAAGTACCACTTCTTAACAAAATACACAGATTTTGTAGATGGCTGTGATTTCTATACCTTTTGAGATTTCGGTGTCAATTGCATTAGGAAAAGGGCTTTTTTAATGTGTGTGGGGAAATCTGGTTTCAAAGAAAATATTTTCCAGGTCTCCAGGTAATTTTGCTATTTAGTTTAAAAGTAGGTATGAGATCTCAAGCTGAAAAAGCATTTGATGACTTAAAATAACTGCAAAGAAGGATTGTAGAAATACCAACTACTGCATCTGATACACTGTGATTTAGACATGAGTAATTTTGTCGCTTATTTACTTGGCTTTTAGTAAAGTGTTTTTAGTGGGAAAGAAAATGTGGCCTGATTGGCTTTAAACTCTCTTAACAGTTTTAATATATTGCATACAGTAGTCTTTCTGATTCAACTTACTATGTTAACTTTTGCTGTCCTTTAGTCGTTAATTTTGAACATAAAGACGACTACTTTCTAATACCTGGCATGTAGCTGTGTCATGGAAATGTTAGGGAAGCTGGAGGTTTTGGCAGAGGACAGGGAATAGCTGGGCTTTCATATCATGGAATCGTAACAATGCACAGCAAGATGAAAAATCATAAAATAGCAACGTGTTGGCTGGTTATGGGTAACTTCTTCAGTTTTTTAGTCAAGATATTCCCTGCGCCCTTTCTGAAGGCTGGTGCTAAAGAGACAAGATTTGGCTCTTGGGTTCCCCACTATTGTGCTAAGCTTTTACCTTGCTTATGGGCTTGAGTAAGTTAGACAAGGGCACAGTTACAAGGCAAAAGAATTTGGAGATCATGATCAAGTCTTGACAGAATATGTTTATAACCCGTTAAAGTGTGTGTAAAGATAGTATTTCTAACTAGTATTAAATGTATTGGCTGGCTTGTTTCAACTCTGTAGTTCTTTGAAAATAGAAGTGTTCCTGAAGACTTACGTGCTCTTGCTAATTTTTTCCATTAGTCTTCAGTATGTATTATAGCAACACTCATGTATCCCCCCTGCTATAAAAAAAAAGGCAGAACTTACTTGATGGTTGGCCACTGCCAAAAGTGGCAGCCCTAGCCCTGCTCTTTCTTGCTTGTGGATAGCCTGGCTCTCATGGTTTACTGTTTAATATGCCAATTTGGCTTCAATTGACAAGAGACTTTTATTTTGGTTAGGTTAACTTTCTGCTACATTAGTGAGTTGAATCAACATTACTGTGTAGCCTGATAAGCAGGAGAGCCCAGGTAAAAGCCAAGTGGCGGGAGCTTGTGAGTGAAAGTGGCTGATCCTGGTTGACATCTTTTTGCCAGCTGAGAGCTAATAGATTGGCTCAGCTGCGTTATCAGAGTGCACTGAGACAACTTGTTTCAGAGGATAACTGCATAAAACAAATATTTTAGGTGTCACCAGAAGAGACTGCTTTGTAGATAAGTCTGTGAAATATTTCTTGCTCCAACTGTATAATGACTTTAATCTTGCACTTTTTTGCAGAACCTTTTTAAAGTTGCTCTTTCCTTTTTTGTTTTCTTATCTGCTGGTCTCTAAAACAGTTCTAATAAACCAATCATTTTAAAGTGAGGACTCAATTTTCCACTTGCCAAAAACATCATTAATTTCAATCATTGTAGTTCAGACTTTCTCATGCACTCCACAAAAAACCCTGTTCCCCCCAAGACCCTTATCTGAATAAATCAATCTAAATGAAACTTGCACAGAATAGCTTGAAAATGAAGTTCAGCAAACACTCCTTCCTTTCTACCCTTTCCTATCTCCACTTCCTTACCAATAAAACCTTTGCATGTGAGGGCTGGGAAGTAATAAAATGCTTTTTACAAACTTACTTTGCAGTTTCCCAGTGTTCTGCAATATGTTAGAAATTCTAGGGATTTAGTTTTGTGATGCTACTGCTTCCGGTGGTGGTAAATACCATGGCAGCAGCAGTGCTTAGTGAGAACTCTTCCCTATCTCACATAGGATTATTCATCCAAACTCAACTAGCAGCATTTGTATACCAACCAGCAGGCACAGAGATGTTTCTTAAAAGAAAGGGAGAGGAAAGAACATTTAATTGTCAGTAATTAATCCATAACTCAAACCATAGGAAACCATGAGACGCTTCAGTATTGTAATGCTGCATTTTAAAGCTTTTTTTCTTAATGTGGACATGCTTGTGTTTTCTGGTTCTTGTTTTCTTCTGAATTATTAGCACAACAGTCTTTTCCTGCTACAGTCTTTTTCTCTACACAAGAATTCACGTGGGAGCGGAGGGGTAGCAAAAACTGAGCTTAAATGTGATTTAGGGATCTTCACTCTTCTGTTTAAATATGTTACGTTAAAACTACATTAAAAATAAAATCGGAGAAGACTATGAAGCAAAAAAGTGTTCTAAGTAGAACTCTCTTGTATGTTATCTGCAAGGCATCCAGCTGTTTTCCTGAGTGTTTTTTGTTTGCTAATGTTACTACAAGACTTATGATTATAACACGCTGCAATACAGTAATTATTGGAAATATTTCTGAGCAAGAAGTGCTTTTTAAACAGAGGCAGTGACACTCTGGTGGCCCAAGACTGACAGTACAGCCAACCTGCATCATGACCATTTCAGTAGTTAGCCATCTTGCTTAGCACTATAACCAGGAGTTGCATTAGGCTGTCTGGCTTTGTCTAGCTTGTCTTTTAACACATGAATTTGTCCTTGCAACATTACTTGCTCTTCAGTGTAGCAGAAACTAAAGTTGGTTCCAGGATGTGTCTTTTCATCCTGGATGTCACAAGAGAGCTGTTAACTGGCTTTTAAATTCTAGGATCTTGATTATTTCATCAAAGTGCATGACTTGAATTCTAACCCAAAAGGTACCTTTAAAAAATAACTCTCAGCCAGAGGTAGTGTTTATTGCATTTTTGTAAATTACTGCATCAATGCTGTATATAAATATATATGATAGTAAGAGTAGTGTCAAAACACATTTACTGCCCTTAGTGCTTCTGTGTGTGTCATCCAGCAGACCTAGGACTATTATTAAAATAATGACCTGGGAAATGACCTATTCAAGTTTTTAAATAATCCCTGTTGCCAGATAGCTACAAATCGAGGCCTATAATAACTCTGTCGTCTGCCTGCATCACAGCTTTAAGGAATTTTTCAATGGTCAGACACAAGCATTCATGTCACTTGGGTGCCTTCAGAGCTTGTACAGTTTGGGCCTTCGTGCACCTTTGACTATGAATTCTGCAAGTGTGTGCATGTCCCTAAGGATTGCTGGGGATAGCACATAGTTTTGTTCCTGCAGCTGATTTGTAGGAGGTTTGGTTTTTTTGCAAACCAAGCCCTTCAGCTATCCCTTGACAGTGTTTTGGCCAAAGCTGCTTCCTTACAGGTCTGTGCGTGTTAGGCCATCCCAGAGTATGCTGCTGGCATGCTGCTGGCTGCGCTGGTCATCTGGGTGCTGCTTGCTACCTGCTGAAAAACTGTGGGATGGCTGCCCACGTTCCCCTACAACATCCTGGGACAAACACAGGCTCTGGAGCAGGAATGGGTGCAGATGTTTCTGTTGCCATGTGATCCTCTTGTATAGAAAGAAGCTGTGCAGTTAAACTTTATCCCCAGAACATGCTGTGGGTTTTTTTTTTGTTTTGTTTTTTTTTTTTAACTAGGCTAGGTGATGAGGCAACGGAGAGCTCACCAGAACGTGGTGGTACTTCTGGATAACAAGGGTTTGCTGGTCTCGGTGTGTTTTCTCTGTCACTGCGCTGGCAGGAATTGAGAGCATTCCAGAGGGAACATTTGTAGCCACTGGCAGGGAAAGATTGATCTGTGTGGCTGTATCGCTGGCTTCTGTTGGGGTGTCCAAAAATAAGTATCACAAAGTTATTCATTCACTTTCCTAGCAAGCGCGAAGACAGAGGAAAAGAGTATTTCACCTCAGCAGCCTGGAGCAGAAGCTCCTCTGAAGGTGTGCATAGTCAGGCTGTCTCAGAGTCTCCTGGGGAAGAACCATCACAAGGTGTGTCCCAAACCTGTTGCCAAACAGTGATAAGTATGCGCCTCTCTATCTTGGATGGCAACTTCCAAAGCTGAAAATAAGCACAGGCATTAATTTACTGCAATGTTCTATCACCTGTCATTGTAGTTTCATGTCTTTGTTGTACAAAAATAGAGATACCTGTGTTTAGCTTTTGTTCCAAGTACTGGAACAAGCATGGCTTTCCAAGCATTTCAGGTTTCAGCCTTACTCTGTCTATAATCTGTAGATCTGTGGTGGCTTGATGTGCAAAACTTGCACCAACATATCACACGTGCCCATAATCCAGAATTTTGCTCTCATTCTGACATTCCAAAAAGTGTTCCAAACAAGCAGCAATGAAAAGCACTTTACACTCTGGCATTTGGCAACTAGGAGCTGCTGATTTTACAACGTCCTAGGGCTGCTTTTCTGGCTCCTGGTTTCTTCCCTGCTAGTTTGTTTCCAGAGCAGCAACTTTGACTCACCTCCAAGATGGAAGAAGTCCATCAAGATCAAGGGATAGTGGGGCAGAGATTAATAGATGAGGGAAAAAAAAAAACATAGAAAGGTAAATGTGCCCCATAAAGTGTCAGATAGAGGAAAGTTCTTAATTTGTACTAAATGGATGAGAGCCAGCTCAACTTTTTTTTTTTTTTTTCCTTCATGTCCTCCAAATAACAAGTTAGAGGAGCTGGAGTGTAATACAACGAATGGCGCTCATGCTGTGAAGAAGAGGACCAGCTTCTCAGCTTGGAAAGGCAGAGGTTGAGATCACAAAAATGAAATTCATGGACAGGGTATTCTGTTGCAGACTGCTGGAAATGGCCATTGCCCACTTGCACAATTAAAGCTAGGGAGTGTATTTTGCAGGTTGTTCTGCTGGATGCCTCTTCCTGAACTAAAGAGAAATTTTTCCTTTTCTTACCTTCTCTAATCCTGGAATGGCATTCAAAAGCAAGGCAATGATACAGATGATATTACTAGACAACTTGATGTCCACTTAACAACTGTGAAGATCAATAAAGTAACAGAAACTTAATTTAAGAAAAGTTTTGTAGTATAAGAGGCTATATGAATTTTTGCATGCTTAAATCAGTGCAGGTAGTTCATGTGATAATGGTATTTGTCCAAGTGTTCTACAGTCTACAAAAGATATGGCATTAGCCACTATTATAATGCATGAAAGCTATCTGAAATAGGCTTATTTGAAGGTTGCTTTTGACTGGCAGTTGAATTTACTGTCCATATTGTTTAGACTACATTTCACCAAAGGTACGAAGAAAATAGACATACCTACTGCCTTCTTCTTACTTAATAGCTTTCAGTATTTTCTCCTAAAATTTCACATTGTCCCAACTAGCTTGGTAGCTTGACACAAGGATGATTTGTTGACTTGATTCTTGTTTTCTGTTAGGTTCTCTCTTATCTTGTTCATTAACTAGATTAAAGCATGTGAATGATAGTCATATTTCACCTTAATTATATTGCACATATTCAAAAGAAATAGTACAGAAAATGCTTCTTCTCCCATGGGAGCAGGTAGTTACACTGCAAACCTACTCTGAAAGATTATTAACCTGTAATAGTTAGCTGTGACTGTGCTAAGGCAAAAAAGGGTCTGAGAAGGAGCCATCAAAAACGGGTATTAACTACCTTATCACTTCTTTTCAGTAACATGTCTAAATACAGAATTTAGTACATTGTTTACTTCAGGCTTGAGAAAAATGTTACCATCCTAATTTGGAAGATAAATTTTAAAATGCCAAAGGTGGGGGAGCAAACTATCCTGGAGCCATATTTTAGCCCTGTTAAAGTTGATGGCATAAATTCTATTGAGTTTCAGCAAAGCTGAAATTTCCCAGTTTCTTCCTTATTATACATTGCTCACCAGAGCTGTATAAACACCTTATGTAAATTGTGTTTTGTTGCCATCCCTGCTTGGAGCTGCTGAAGTTAGCCTCCGCTCTCTGGCGTTCGTTGAGGATGCTTCAAGGGTTTGTTCACTTCCTTGCCCAGGGAATGTTGCCCAAGTCCTAATTTGGAAGTTGGTGAAATTTCACTCCTGGAAAAGAGTTTGGGATTTTGGAATGTCTGTAGCTTATTTCAGTGTGTGTTTAAAGCATAAGCAAGTAAAATCAAGGAAAACTAAATAGACTTTTAACGAGGCATTAAATAACCTGATTTGGAAGATTTCGCTGCACGAGGAACAACTATATAAGTTTCTGATGGATTTGTTGTATGTTTGATGGATTAAACCCATCACAAATTACAGCAAGTATTCTTCAGACTTGCTCAGCTATTTCCTCATGACCTACATCCTTTCTTTTTTTCCCTCTCTCCCCCTGCAATGCCTTCAGCTTTCTCGTGTCCCCTCTGCTCTTTCTGCTTGGCCTTCTTGCTTGAGCAAGGACCTGCACATCCTTCAACTTGGTTGCAGCTGCAGTTTAGTGGGGTGGGGGCAAGCTGAGCATGTCTGCAGGGACTGAGTCCTCCTCTCCTCAGCAGCAGCACTGATGCATGTGCTCCCCACTGCTTTTACAAAATTTCTGCAGTGGATTCAAGACTTCTGCCTTTCAGATTTGTCTGAAATTGGCGAAGGCATTTAGGGAGACTGGGAAAGGATAAAACACCACAAAGCCAACTTCATGGAGCAGCCAGAACAAAGGTTATTTAAAACAGTTTTAAAAAGCCACAGTCTAATTTGAAAAAAATCATGCTAACGTAGTTTCAAAATTTTGAAAGGAAGCGAGTTGTGAATGCTGGCTTACTCTCATGTCAGCTTTGGGTTTGTATATGTTCTGCAAATACTCTTCATCCCCATATATTGTTTCTTTTTCAGTGCAAAATAAGGATTGAAGTTGTAAATAATGATTATAGCTTTGGGGTACCACTTGTTTTGTATACTCAGTGTAAAGGACTCAGTTTTTTCAAAACCCTTTAAGGTGCCTTTAAATAGACTTTTAAGTTACAGTACTCTTGACTGCTTAGTACCTTTCATCTGTTTCTTCAATACTTCTGAAGAAATCTATGCTATCTGTTGAACCATTGTGTAATTTCCTATAAACCCAGTATGCATGGAATGACACAAAAAGTGATTCTTTGCATCATCATTTTCTTGTATGTGTTGGTCAACAGCAGGAGCTACCAGAGAGAGATGTTATTTAGCAGTCAGATGCAATTAAATGTTCTTTGCATAATGCCACCTTCATTTGTTGTCCAAAAGAGATCTTAGCGCCTTGGTTGTCATATCAGCTTTTATTAAATATGACTAAAAGATCAAAAAGCGTAATCTGGTTGGTTTGCTTGTTGGAATTCAAGACTCAAACTTCAGATTATTTGTGGTTGCTGGTTGTACTGTAAGTAGTTACTTTTTAGGATAAACCCTGTTGCGGTGTTTGTACTAAGGCATTATGTAAAAATGCATCTATTTGACTTTGAGGTGAATGATTTTGAAAGCTGCAGTAGCGAGCAGTGCTTTTTGTCTACCGAATGTTACAACTGAATGATATCTTTCTTGAGAAGAGGGGGAAGTATTTTTGCGTAGCCCCTCTCTCATTTAGAAATGGGGGAAGGAACAGTCTGTTCTAACTTGCAGATTATTTTTATATCAATCTTGAAGTTCTGAAAGGTTTTTTAATTATTTTTTGCATCCTCTCTAGTGGTTGTGATAATAGACTGTTAGAGAACTGTCAGAGATGTTATAAGGATCTCTGTCGTAGCATGGGTTATCTCAGGTTGGAACAGGCCTCAGGAGGTAAATTCTCTGGGTTTTGAGTTGTGGTGGTGCTACTGTTATTTCACAGGGGAAGGTTAGCTTGTAAGAGTAGCCAAGAGTTCAAAGGGTAGAGGGGGACTGGTTTTGTTCTTTTCCTTTTTGGGGCATTACAATATTGTAGGCTTTACAAATCCTCCATTACTGATTGTTTGTTTGAGGTTAGATTTTAGTGTAAGGTTTCAGATATACATGGAACAGATTATGACTTTCTAGAAAACCTTACAGTCAGTCTATTTTTTTTGAGAAACAGTTATTTCTGCATCTACGTGCAATACTCTTAGTGTGTTGAGCAGCTTAAACTTCAGTATTTGGTGTGCAGTTACAGCAAATTCTCACAAACACCTGCTATGCAGTGTTTACTGTATTTGCTTCGTTAGATTTTTTGTTTGAATTAACTATGTTTCAAAAATAAAATGCTATTTAATAGATTATGAAAATTTTCTTCGTGTAGAGGAGTAGCTGCTATTGACTACTTGTGGCTTTTGGTATATGTATGAAGATTAGTTGATGACTTCTTCGATGGATGCTCTTGACCTGACCTATGATTTGCAGTCTGTTGTCCTGCTGAGTTTGCAAATGGAATTGGGATAAAGTCTTGATGTGACTGAGTTAGAGAGGCTGTCTCCCAGATCCCTTAATCATCATGTACTGCAGGATACAAGTCATACTTGCAGTGCTGGTCCATCTGCTAGTGTATATATGCTTTCAATATATGAATGAAAAATTGAGTCTATTCAATGTTCAGAAACAGTAAAAACATCAGTCGTTGTGGTAGATGATACCTATGCATAGTTCATGATAAATGTGATTTAAAAACAACACAGGGTTTTGGGAAATTATTAATTTTCAGATGGCAAATGTTGTCAGGTCTTGTCCCTACATGTATAAGTTTTAATGTCAGTGCATTATGGCATTTAACATTATTTTTCAGTTCTCTTTATCTCATGGTTTGACTTCTAAGACTGTCTGCCCACCATTGCTTTATGCCAGGTATCTGTGTTTTCTTTAGCTACGTTACGTACAGTATTAAACATGGCAAAGAAGAAAGTAAGTAGCTTAAAACTGCTGGTTTTATATAAATGGCCTAATATGTACCTTTTACTGATACCTTTCCCTGTTTTCCACTTTCCCCTTTTTAGATGTGTGGTCAGCAGGCTGTGTATTGGCTGAACTGTTACTAGGACAACCAATCTTTCCAGGTGACAGTGGTGTGGATCAGTTGGTGGAAATAATCAAGGTATGGAATTTTAAGTGGGTTTTTTTGACTGTGTTATTCCTTGGGAATCGGCATGAAAACGTGTGTTGTTACAACCTTGTCAACATACATATTCTGTCACCATTGTATAGGGTGTTGTTGCATGTGAAGAGTGTTTGAAAACACTTACTGTGCTTTTTTTTTGAGAACTTTATGATCTTTGTGCCCCTCTTGCAGTCATGCATAATGAAATATCATCTTTTAACTATATAGGGTTTTTTTCCCCTCTTAAAGGATTGCACTTTCAGTGTGCTTGGAAATACTGCTTACATACTGAGCCAATATTTATTAATGTGTGATTCTCATTCTTTAAGAATCTGGCTTTTTTTCCTTTGTTGCATGCAATTAGTACTTGGCTTTGAAAACAATGTTATTAAATTTCCTTCTGCCAGACTCTTCACATACGTAGCCTTCTTCTTTTCTTCCTTCCTTCCAGCTCTTTGAGGTGAAAGGTGAGAAAGTGCACTGCTTTTTGCAGATGAAGAATCAGGAAATGTAGGGCAAAGATACCTTCCACCTGAAGAGTCTTGTTTCTCAAGTGAAAAAGACCTAATGTTTCAGAATGCATAACATTTATATATCGCTTATGTTCAAACACATCTTGATTGATTTCATTTGGTAAGCTGTGAATATTCTGCGATTCTCAAATTAGAGGCATGGAAGAATAATTCATAGCTTAAAAGATTGGCGTCTGACTTCCCAGCACCCTAGTCTCCCCTACCTCCTTCCACATCTGCAATGAAGGAAGCATGATTTCTAGAGAGAGCAGTATATTATTCCTCTGAATCTATACTATGCACTTAATAAGATGGGAGTATTACAGAGGATAAATGTGCGCACGTGCTGTTCAGCTTTATTGATTTCATCACCACAAGGGGACTGTATTAAGAGAATTTCCTCCTTGGTTTTGCCCATTAACTGCTACCATGATACATGTATATTTGTGTCACATGCATGTAAAAACCCCCTCAAAACAAAATGTGTGGGTGGAAGGGTAGAACTACGTGCGTCTGTGTTACTCACTAGAAGAGCTACTGGTGTCTTTGTCCCTGTCATAACAGAGTGTATGACACCAACCAACACCAAGTTGTCACTCTGCTGCGTGGAGGACATGGGCTGGTGAGGCTCAGTGTTTCTGTGGCCTGCTCTACTGTCTCAGTGGGGTGTGCTCTGACCTTTCTAGGCTCTTGCCACATCTCCAGCCTTTGACCATGTAAACCGAGCTTCTGTTACAGTGGGTTTCTATCTGTCCTGCTGGAAATCCTCCAGTCAACTCCTTTCCTTGGGAGGCTCCATGTCTTGCACCTAGTTCTCCTGTGACTTTCTTGGTTTCTTATTATTGCCTTTCTGCCCAGTGTTTGAAATACAGTGCTTGAAATGCTCAGCATGTCCAAGTTGGGTCAGTTTACATAAGAAACACCAGTGGAAAAGTAGAGTTGCTGTCAGAAGCAGGGCTGATAATGGCCCAAGTTTTCTCCTTTTGAGAACTGTCTTGGAGTGGTGCGCTGTTTTCTGCTACACTACTTGCGTGAGATGTGCAGTGGTCCCTGTGACCACTTCAGATGGCCAGAGTTCCTCAGGAGTTTGTGCAATAACCTGTGGTGTTTCCCTTTGGATGTTTTCAAAAAGTCCTGTTTCGTTTCTTGATTTTAATGTCTTGACTGCAGTCCTGAGAAACTACCATCTAATTTTTGTACGTACAACTGTTACGTCACAGTGACAGTCCTGTAAGTCTTTCCATGGCTCAATCAGAAACCTGAGAGTAGAGAAGCCTTATCAGCAAAACCATAATGCTCTGCCTTACCATCTCTTTGACTTTTACAATGTGCAAGTAAGATAATCGGGAAATAGATGTCCTCTTGTTACTGACATGCTAGCCAAGCAGAGATTGTGGTTTGGTTCAAAGTTTGTGAGAAGCTCTTATCATCAGTTGGACCTTTCCAGTTCTGCAGTATTGGAAGTAAACATCTGTGAACTAATAATTTTATAGCATGTATATGCCCTGATTGTGATGATTCTGCTTTGTTTACACTTGAGTTAAGTTGTATTGAAGCGGAGGAGTACTTTAATAAAATTGCTGATAGCCTGTATACCATCTGTGGTTTCTTTATATGTCACTACCAGGAGTGGTGTGAAAACTTCTTATTGACCAAGTCATAGCTGAATACATAGTACTGGCAAACTAATGTTATTTCTCATGACAGCCGAAGGAGTATCCAGTAAATTATAGCTTGAGATTATGATTCTCACCTCCTCAGAAACAAATTTCTGAATCATGGGGGATACTGAATGATCATCCACACCTGTGTTGTGTTGGGGTTTTCTCATCTTCTGTTAGATATGTAGCCCCCTATGCATAGAAATTAAGTGAAACAACTTAAATGTAGGGACAACTGAATTTTATAGTAAGCCTGGTCTCTTCAATTAAAAGGTTACAGTACTGAGACAGTATGTTTTAGGAAAGTCTGAGAGAACAAATGCTGTAAATCTTACAGTAGTAGTCACGAAAAATTCAGATGTTCACTGAATTGTTAAGGAAGTATGATGGAAAATGTAAGCCCGAATGGGTGGGTGCCATGAATATTTTTCTGCCTGTATGTTTGTTCCTGAGGCAGCATATATTCTCAAGGTAACATTGGAAGAGAAAATGAGGGCAAACTGCAGAAGTGGACTGTTTTTCAATGCCCTTGTCTACCAAATCTTGTGTTGTGAAGTTTTGTATAAACTACTCAGAAAAGCCCTGTCAAAAGGCTAAGGTGAGAATACAGAGAGAGTTATAATTGAGAATATTGCATTCAAAATCAACGGCCTAGAAATTGTCTAGGAAAGTGCATGAACTGGGCAGTGAGGTGCTTCCTTTGTAACACCATACCCACTGACAAGTATTTCTCATGGTGGAAGTAGAGAGAGAACAGCACATTTACCTCAAATTTCAAGTAATTTTTCCTCACCTTTTCAGAATGAGGAAAAAGTAGAAAGTGAGGTCCTCAACTTTCCATTCTGCCAGCTGTTGGCAGGGGACTGTCTCATCTGCTATGTATCCCTTAAAAGTAACCAATAATAAAATTGAGCAGATTTGTTTTTCAAATCTGCTAAGAAGTCATGAAACTTGCTGCTCTTCTCCACTCCCAGCATGATGCTTAAATTTGACTTGGATTTGAAAGGTTAGCATAAAACCTGCAACCTGTGTTTACTGAGCGAGCTTGGGTTCTGCAGCCTCAATACAGTTGAAGACACGCAATTCTGCAGCATGAAAATTACCAGAAAAGTTAAGTCTTGGGCACAACATGTAAAACGTTAGGTTGTATAAGATTTCATTTAGAATAGGATTCATTTAAAAAAATATTTTTACAAATGGTGTCCACCTCTGCCATTTGCTGCCATAGAATACTACGATTTAAAGCTTTCATTATAACACAGACTTAATGCTAACTGGCTGTAGGATAAGCAGAGCTGTGGGGTCTGCCAGTTGTAGAATGGCAGTGAGCTTTGTAGAAGGTTGCAGGTTGGGACCTGTGAGCTGCTGTTTGACTATCTTGGAGCCGTGCTTTTCAGATAGCTTCCTTGGAACTGTATGTCTGAAACTTAGGGGCAGAGAAAATGGAGTATTTTAAACTCCCAGAAAGGGCTATGGTAAAAAAGTATTTATCCACACATTTGGAAATGCGTCTGACTTTCATACCTTAAATTTACTTGATTTCACTGCAAAAGAGGTCAGCTTGGAAACTTTTCTGCTGGTTCCTATTGATTCAGGATGACTGAGTCACAGTCACCCTTGCAGCATTTTCTGAGCCAAGATAAATTTTTCAGTTGTCTCTTCAGTTGCTTACTCAGCTTTGATTTTTCAGAGTTCATTTCACAACACTGCAATTGAATCCAACACCTGGGTATGAAGTTTTTGCATTAGGCTGGAGAATGACTTCAAAATGCCATCACATTAAACTAGTCCTCCCTTCTCATGCAGTTCATGATGACATCCCCTCAGTAGCTGTGTTCATGAAGATAGAATTTTTGTGATATGTCAGTCCAGCACAGCTTGTCCTTCCTGCAGGCTGCATGCCCAACATCCTCAGTCCCTTGCTGCATCAGAAGCATTTTTGGCTTTTGTCAGATTTTGATTCACTTTCAGCAGTCTTCACATAGTTTCATTTCAAGCAGTCTTGCAAGATCTTCTCCATCCAGTTGCACCTGAAGTTTCTATAGGCCTATTGCATATTTGCAAACCGCTCTGAAAAACTGTGCCCCTCTAGAATCACAGCATCACATTTGTGTGAATCAAAAGACAGTCCTTTTTAGCTTCTTTTTCTCTTGTTCCTATTTCTTTAAAGACTGTCTTTCCAGATGTTCTCAATCTGGCTGGGGGAGAGAGATCTTTGACTGCTTACCCCTGACAAAAGGATATTTGATATGGGGAAAATACTGTCTTGGAGCTCCATCTGAAGAAATAATTTAACCCAAGTACATTCTTCTTGAATACTTACACTATTACAGGAGAGAAATCATGTGCTGTGCTTTTTCCAAAGTTTGATCTTGAATGGTGACTCTTCCTCCTTATTTTTAGCTCTTGCTAGCTATCCAAATGTTAGGTTACCCTACTGGCTTTCGAGTGACATCTCCTTCAGAAATGTGCTCCGTTTCTGAAGCAGGCACAGTGGCAGCATGGGTTTCATCAGCGGTCACATAAAGAAATTACATATGAGCAAGCATTACACCTCAGAGAGCAGTCATACAGTCCTGTCCCCGATGGAAGGGTGAAACCCCCCTCCTTCCAGCAGCCCAGGAGGCTTGCGGTTGCTGCTTCCCTATTTAAAATCCACTGTGCAAGTGGGATACCGCTGAATACAGCTTGAAAGAAGGAGCTTTCAGACCATGAGAGGGAATTTTTTGGAGATACAATCAGGGCAGACTCCTCCATAAATCTTTGTGCGCATGGCTTGCAATTCAGCAGCGGTGTCTGCGGGACTGCCATGCCCCCTGCAAAA